TTTTTTTTTTTTTTTTTTTTTTTTGCAAATTAATAATGTTAGTGTTGTTAATAAGAGTATTTTCACCTTTTTGGTTGCAGATGTGGTTGTACTTGTTGCAGTTTTCATATTAGTTGGTTTGTTTAGCATGCAACACTATGGAACGGATAAAGTTGGTTGGTTATTTGCTCCCATTGTACTGCTTTGGTTTCTAATGATTGGTGGCATCGGCATTTTCAACCTTTATACATATGATACCTCAGTTCTCAGAGCCTTTTCGCCTGTGTACATATATCGCTACCTTAAAAGAGGCACGAAAAAACGCTGGACGTCCCTTGGAGGAATCATGCTTAGTATCACAGGTCTCTTCCCATTCTCTCTCTCATTCACACAAAGATAAAACCAAAGAAAAATCATATATGGTAAATTGTTCAAGTCAAATATAAGAACTAATTTCAAATTTTATCTTATTTGCAGGGACTGAAGCACTTTTTGCTGATCTTGCTCATTTCCCAGTTTCTGCTATACAGCTTGCTTTTACGGTAGTTGTGTTTCCTTGTCTTCTTCTAGCCTATTCTGGTCAAGCAGCGTACCTTATGGAAAATCAAGAGCATGTAATCGATGCATTTTATCGATCGATTCCGGGTAATTTGTCCAAATGAAACAGAAATGTGTATTCGTCTTGATGGCAATGTAAAAATCACTTGGGTACTTCAACCCTTTTTTTTTTTTTTTTTCAGATGCTATATACTGGCCTGTTTTCATCATTGCAACTTTGGCTGCTATCGTCGCTAGCCAGGCCACTATTTCCGCCACTTTTTCAATAATCAAGCAAGCCCTTGCTCTTGGCTGTTTCCCAAGGGTCAAGGTTGTGCACACGTCAAAGAAGTTTCTCGGGCAGATTTATATCCCCGACATCAACTGGATCCTCATGATCCTTTGCATTGCTGTAACTGCTGGTTTTAGAAATCAAAGCCAAATCGGCAATGCATACGGTAACTCTCTCTCTCTCTCTCTCTCTCTCTCTCTCTCTCTCTCTCTCTCTCTCTCTCTTTCTCTTTCTCTCTCTCTCACAAAAGATACGATCTTGATGTTGACAGGCACAGCTGTCGTGATCGTGATGCTCGTGACGACCCTTCTAATGACTTTGATAATGCTGCTCGTGTGGCACTGCCACTGGCTTCTAGTCCTTCTCTTCACCTTCTTCTCCCTTTTGGTCGAGTGCACTTACTTCTCGGCCGTGCTTTTTAAGGTTGACCAAGGCGGGTGGGTCCCGCTTGTGATAGCAGCCGCTTTCCTAATCATCATGTACGTGTGGCACTATGGCACGGTCAAGCGGTACGAGCTCGAGATGCACAGCAAAGTTTCCATGGCCTGGATTCTCGGGCTGGGCCCAAGTTTGGGCCTTGTCCGAGTCCCCGGAATCGGGCTCGTCTACACTGAGCTCGCGAGTGGGGTCCCACACATCTTCTCCCACTTCATCACCAATCTACCTGCTATCCACTCGGTTGTAGTCTTCGTCTGTGTTAAGTACCTCCCAGTGTACACAGTCCCCGAGGAGGAGCGTTACCTTGTTAAACGCATAGGCCCGAAAAACTTCCACATGTTCCGTTGCGTGGCTCGATATGGGTACAAGGATCTTCACAAGAAAGACGACGATTTCGAAAAGAAATTGTTCGACAATCTTTTCACGTTCGTCCGGCTCGAGTCCATGATGGAAGGGTGCTCGGATTCGGACGAATATAGTATATACGGAAGCCACCAAACCCACCAGTCGAGGGATTTCTTGTTGAATGAGGGGAATAATAATGGGCCCACGTCAAATTACGACGATGACCTCACGATCGCGTCAGTCGACTCGATTGTGCCGGCGGCTGGGAACACGATGATGTCATCATCTGCACATACTGAGGTCGACGAGCTCGATTTCTTGAGCGAGTGTAGGAATTCCGGGGTGGTTCATATCATGGGGAATACGGTGGTGCGGGCCCGGAGGGACTCGGGGATTTGTAAGAAAGTTGCGGTTGATTATGTGTACGCATTTCTTCGGAAGATTTGCAGGGAGAATAGCGCTATATTCAATGTGCCTCATGAGAGCCTCTTGAATGTTGGGCAGATTTTCTTTGTATAATATGTTGTTTTTGGTGGTAATAAAGGACAAGTTTTTTTTGGATTAGATCTGAAGCTTGTAAGTTGTTTGTATGTAATATATATTGGAAGTTTTTCGAGAAGAATGTGTGTCAGTAAGTGTGTGTACCGTGTAGCCTTCTTTTCAAGTGTTGACAAGCTTTCAGTTTCTCTTTGTTTTATCACCAACAAATGGAAAAAAATGTTGGAAACTTCTGCATACACACATAACAAATGCTGCTCTTTGTTTCATATATTACAAACAATAATTATAATGACTGTATGCATTATCCCAAAACAGTTATTCCTCTGTTGCACTCATAATATACAAAATATATATAGTGGACAGGACAATAATTATAAAAATTAAAAACCAATATGTGTGTGGATATCCATATATGATGAGATCTTGAACAAATCACTTCTTAGGTAACTGATTACTGTGTGCAGCGAAGCCCTGTGGTTTTGTGAGGCTTGCAGAGGACATTGTACGTAAACGCTGAGCAATCTCGGTGAAGGAAGGCCGAACAAATGGATCCGGGGCCCAGCACTGCTCCATCAGTAGTCTCCATTCGGGATCACAAAAGCTCGGCACTGGTGGCCGCAACGTGTTGTTCACTATACCACCTGTTTTTGAAGAGGAACTCAGATATGTAAGATTAGTTTTCTTTTTTTTTTTTTTTTTCAAATGTAAGATTAGTTTTCTACTTTGCAAAATATAGTTAGTTTTTGTCTTATAGTCTGAAGCAAAAGTGACTGAACGAACCAATTATTGCTCCGTAATGCATATTGGCGTAAGGCTCCTCACCCGTCAGAATTTCCCACAGGACAATGCCGAAGGAGAAGACATCAACCTGTTGGAAACAAAATACGCCATCATTGTTTTATGTTTTATTTTACATTTACTTACCATTTTTTTTTCAAGAATTGCAGGAAAAACGTGTACCTTCTCCGAAACCTTGCTACTGCTACCGTTTAACAACTCTGGAGCCATCCATGGAAGGGTCCCGCGGACACCGCCTGTAACCAATGTGTTTCTCTTGATCTTTGACAAGCCGAAATCGCCCACCTAAACATTTGCAAGGTATAAGTTTTGGAGAGAAACTGAAAGCATCATTACAATCTTCTTTTTTTTTT